TATACCCCGCGAATAAACAGCTTTTACTGTATATTATTTAGGATTATGCATTACTAAAAAGGCGATTAAAATTGATCACGCTTGCCCCCTCATTAAATAATATTGATGAAAGATGAAAGACTACACCACACAATTATTTGTGACATTTTAAATCAATTATGTTGTTCAATTTTATTTGTAATACGTAGTCATCGAGTAACTGACGAGTGAAAATAAAAACATATAATTATTTAAGGGTCCCAAGTACTACAAAAGATAGGCAGGTAGATGATAGCAATTTATATGATTGGTAAGTAGGGATTTTACTAAATTTTTATTTTTTTTTTGTTGCAGGTCGGAGGTCACACGCGATTGATGGTATTGAATCCGAGTACAATTTGCAAGCCTTTAAACTTTAGGGAGCTAGACTTTTACCAAAATATTCAAGACAAAGACATCAGATTGTTTGTACCTAAATATAAAGGTAAGCTGAGTATTATTTGCCTTCAGCGAAATGAAACCGAGGACTCTAATGTATAAGTGAGAAATTTAATTTATCATAACCTAGTTACAACTTTCACTTGTTACCAGACTTTTATATCTTGTGAATCTTATGTAAGGTTTATTGTGCAAGTCGACTGCCGGCCTTTATTATTCTCAATAGGTCTGTTTGCAAGTAAAAGTTGGTAGACGAATAACGCTATTATCTAGTCAATTGATACTACATCTGTATTTGTTATTTAAATAATATTTATTACTTCCACTCTGTTTTGTTGTTTTTCATTTCGTGCATGTTTTTTTTTTTATTAGTCTAGAGTTAGGCCGTAGTTAATATTAAATCCATCAGATTCTTTTTCCATGTTTATTTAATGTCGTTTTTTATTTATTTAATAAACTAATTCATTAAATTTGTGCCATTTTCTACCAACACTTTCACTAATAAGAAAACCTGTTCGTCTATGCGATAAACGCATAGATATATGTACCTATACGGCCATGAATTTTATCTAGGTGATTTGTACAAGTTCAGCAAAAAAAAAATAAAGTTCTTTAAATTTTTTTCTGTTACAATTTCTGTTACAACATTAATTTGTAACTGACGGCGTAACTGGGTTGTGTGAATGCTGAAACCTTTATTCCCTTATTATACCAATTAAAAGTATGTACCAAACCCGGTAATGGTTTTCGGCAATGCCGTTACTGCCTTAAAAACAATACGTATTGTGACGCAAACATAAACAATAAAATATCCACAAGTAGAAACGCGTAGTAAATAAATACAATCGAACTTCTCTTGTTTTACGGATATTAGGTACAATCATATGTAGGTATATACATACACATATAAATTAATTATTATTTTATCTAAACAGAATGACAATATTTTGAAATGTACTGTAGGTTTTTGTGTAAACAATTGTATGTGTAAAATAGATAGAATCCACCATATACACTTGTATTTGTAAACAAACTGTATAAACATAAACCAACTGTTAATGCAATGCTATTTCAAAAAGGTATAAAATACAGCCAATTGTTAATGTTTAATATTATAATACCGACAATATTTTTTAATAAAGAAGTTCGAATGTATAATACCTATTTAGAAAAATTACAGAAAAAATAAAACGGTTTTCGCACATAAAACGGTCAGCTAAACAAAATTTATATCGAAAAGTTTTTGTTTATCAGTCACGAAAACCTTTTTCGTCAAGGTAAGTACAAAAACAATTGCAATTTTTACATTTAAATGCAGGTTTTGCATAAAAATTACAACTATGGGAATAGGCAGTATAGGTACCTAAGGTAAGTGTGATGTTTTAACGAGACAACGAGTAAATTATTTGACGCATAAAATAATTTGGTTGTAAATTAATGTATTTAATAGGGAAAATAACACAATAATATTGCCAATATTTACTGCCACTGAGAGGAAAAAGTTTGGGTTGTTTTTTGTGCCAATCCTGCATTTACTTGTCGATGTAATATAATTACAATATTATTTATCCTTGAATGACTGATGGCGTGGTTGATGTTTAATATTCTTTTCCAAAAAAATTTACTTCTTTTATTGAGGACATACATCCACCGCATGGTGTGCCGGACCGAAATGAATGTCGCAGACAGACAGACCGTTGCCTGTTCAATGTTCATGCCTCCTGGCCTCCGTCCTCTAGCGACAACACACGTACACGTCCATTTCCGGGTTGGTATGGACGACTTCCATTATTTTCAAATGGTTGGAAAGGCTCACTTTTCTATTTTAACGAACGGCAAAGGGTGGATATTTTCAGCCCAATTCCACTCTCTGCTAACTAATATATATATATTCACTTGCCGAAGATCCATGTTAAAAATTGTTCCTTTTTCCAAAGGAATTTTTTTTGATCTCGGGCAAAAATGAAACTTGTAACTTGCGATAAATCGGTGAGCATTCTAACGTTGGATATCTATGCAATGAATGAATCCCGATATTTTACGTAATCCATGATTGGAATGCCATTTCGATGTAGATATCGTGAAATACAAGGCCCGAATTCTGTCCGTAATGAAAGATACTCTAGTAATTCTTCTGATTTGGATCTTACAACACGAGTTTAGGTTTATTATTCACAAATAATGACCTTTTTGTTGTTTAATTTCATCGCTAGTCGTTAATAATTTTTTTGCAGTTATGTGATTAAAATTGATTACTTAATATAGATATCATTCCTTCATGCCATTTGCCGTTAGTTCAGTAAAAATAATTAGAAATAATTCGATCCGAACATTTCGGTTTCGGTTATGTATATAGACGCATACATATACCTAGCTTTATATTATGCGAATAATCGCTTTTGGTTTTGTTGCCCGGCACTTAATTTTTTTGGCCGTTGTTTCAGGAGTCATGCAGGCTACTCTGTGCAGTGGTGCCAAATTGGAAAAACGATACAGTCCTAGCTTTAGAGACGATACAAGGTCCAAAAGCGGCTCAAAAAGGAAAAGGGAAGAAGTTATTAAGTAAGTTACCCGCTGCTTCGAACACACCTCTTTCGTTTCTACGATTTCCGGAAATAATAAACACAGAAATTGTCCAAAACCAATAATTACCCAAGGATGACTGACATCCTAAGTCAGAACGCCAAAAAAAAAAAAAAAATGAAACCTACCACAATACCGGAATATATCGAACTTTTCTAAGGTTTTAAAACCGTTCTGGCTTCTGCATTCAAACAAATTGAATAAATTTATAGCTTGCATATTACGTTCAATATTTCCGGATAATTATATTATTTATAAGTATTTTTTCAAAGACCCCGTAGTGATGTAGAATATTATTATTTTACATAAATTTAAAAATGCAGCGATTGTTGCAGATGTTGTACTTTCATTACATCGCCCAATCTCCACGGGTACCTGTACATATTTAAGATCGCCATTCATCATCGCTATCATCCGATTGAGGATCGCCATCTATCATTATCGATTTTTTTTTTGGGATGGCCATCAGCGTATCTTTTGGCTTTCTTTAATTTGCATTGTTTAAGAACTAAGGGAGCACTGAAATAACGGCCCTATTTATGAATCTCAACGATGATATTCGAAAAATTAAAACAAAATCTGCTAACTGGTTATATAAATAAATCGATGAGAAAAACGTGTTTTTAGTACTACTTGATCACGAATCTTTTATTTTATGATTGAGTGTTTATTTTTTGTAGATTTCTCGAATATGCGTAATATTTCCATAAAAAAAACTAGAAAAACATAAATATATTGATTAACACATTAGCAAACGGCGTACTTATTTTGTCAAAAGCATTTTTAATACTGATATGTAAAATTTAAATATAGCAATTATTGGTTAACACTATATTAGCCAATATACACTTTATACGATAAGAGATAAAAATATAATCCTACATTAACGCAATCCTAAAAGTACTTACGACTTATTGTGAGACCATTATAGTTAAATTGTTTCGAATTTCAATTTCTTAATGTAATTAATTTTTTGAAAATTGAAAATTACAATCGGTGTATAGCAATGCTTCTGCCAGTGTTCCCTTATTTCTTCTTTCAATCCCGACGGTATTTACAATCAAATTTTTAATTTCAGAATTCGCGTCCACCATAACGGTAACCCCAAAGAAGTATTAAAAAGTATCTCTCAATCCGATAATAGTAACAAGCAATACTTCTTAATGCTAGAAAATATCACGTCCCGTTATACACACCCTTGCATACTCGATTTGAAAATGGGCACTCGACAGCATGGTGATGATGCATCAGCGGAAAAAAGATGCAAACAAATGGCCAAGTGCGCGGCCAGCACTTCGGCATCTTTGGGGGTGCGTTTGTGTGGCATGCAAGTGTACCAAGCCGATTCCGATCATTATTACAAAAAAGACAAATATTGGGGTAGGGAACTGAACGAAGATGGATTCAAAAATGCCCTTTCTAGGTTTTTTCACAATGGATACGGTCTTCGGGTTGGAGTGATACGAAAAGTAATAGCAAAATTAGAGCAACTTAGGCAAATTATTGAAAAACAAAGCAGTTACAGATTTTATTCATGGTAAGTTTGAATTTTGATATTATGTAGGTTATGTAAAAGATCGATAAATTACAATTTTCGTGTTTTGAACAAAAATAAATCGATGGTTTCTACTGGCAAAATGTTCTACTTTTAATATTTATCGGTTTAAACAATATTCTGCATATTTATGTTGCAAATTAACTTTGTTTGTCTATAAATAATATGCACTTGGAACAAAGGATTTTTTTAAACATATATATTTTGTAGATAACTTATCTGTTGAAAGAAAAATGGGGTTGATTAAAATATTGTCATACCCAAATAATGTAGTCAATTTTTTTCCTTTTTAATCACTTGGCCGTAAAACGTTATCTGATATGTATACAATACGTACATAAGAGTACTATTTATATAATTGGGTACACAAATAAGGCACTAAAAAAGGTTGTTTTTAATTTTTTTTTTTTGTAAGGGAATATGTATTTATATCTAATGTTTTATTTTTCCAGTTCCCTTCTAGTAGTTTACGAAGGTAATGGCGGTATTCCCCGATTGAATGTCACTACGTCCGATACCTTCTGCGACGACTTCACACACGAATCTGAAGATAATAGCGGCGAAATATCATTTTGCTACGACGCGGATACAAGTAATTCGTCAGCGGACTTGAGCCACGATGAAGTGAGTCAAGACTCGCACCATCGAGGTTTCGGTGAGGCCGCGGCTAGAGGTGCCAAAAGCACATTCTTCCCCGTCTCCGAAGAGACCGTGTTCATGGATCCCCCCGCCAATATTCCCTCCATAAGGACGTCAAGTCCTGTCGATAATTGGGTAACCTATTCGAACAGTAGCAGCGACGAATATTCGTTATCGGGACAATTCGCTGGTGCTAGTTCAAACGAAGACACGTTGGATTTTGAAGTTGCGACGCCAAAAAAGAACAAACAAGAAACCGTGCAATACAGAGACTTAGAGGAAGAAGATGACGAGCCGGTTTTAGGTGCAAGCAGTAACTTAACGAAAAGGTTACGTATGAAGGATTCGTTATTGACAGTTCCATCCTGCAGCACATTACGACCTCGATCACCTAGCCTTCCTCAGGTGGACCTGCGAATGATCGACTTTGCTCACACGAGTTTCGCGGCCAAGTCAAACAGTTGTTCCAGTTCATCGGTTGTGCATCAAGGACCTGACGGGGGTTTCTTAACAGGTTTAGACAGTTTAAAACGACTTTTATTGCAAATACTTGCAGAAGGCTGATTAAAAATCAACTCAATAAAACACATGAAACTAGTAAGGTGCTTCCTTTTTTGTGAAAAATTAGAAAAAAAGCGCAATATTTTCATCCAAGATAAAGGTACCTAGCTACATCAAACATTTATTATTATGCGACAACAAAGTTAAGTTTGTCTTTCCAAACACGTTCGGAAGCTTTTTACGCCGAAAAGTTCGAAGTAATTGTAATTGTTTCAGTGTAACAAGATCTGCATTTGCTCGCTTTTGAGCCCGTTTTCGAATTACTTCCACTGAAATAATTTACATATTCAACTCGAGTTAGCTAATTTTTCAACAAGTAAATGTTTTTTTTCTTCTTTTTTTGTATCTTGTTGGTCTTCTCAAGATTTGTTATATTGACAACAGTATTTCTATACAAGAGTGCAATTATGTGAAAGTGGCAGAGAATGTGTGTTGTTTTTTATGCGGACGGACGATAATGAAACATGCCAAGTTACAGACATTGTGATAGAAGCTTGATTGAATATAAATAATTTCTAGACATTCCAAAAGCTATTTCTAACATTTTAACAGAATCTAAATATAAGTAAAGTATAGAGTAAATTATACACATCGCGCGANCAGTTGGAGGCATATTAGGATTATAAATGTTGCACTCGATGTTTGGAATTAAAATCGGTTTTATTTTGGGAATACGTTGAAGGAGAGTTTCGTTTCCAAAACCGCGAATTTATGTAAGTGCTCTGGCAATACAGGAAATATTATTAGAAAATTATTTATTACACTTTCCGACAGCTATTTATCATTTTCTACTGATGAGATTTTAAAAGCTGTGCTATTTTCGGCGCAAGAAATATGAGGTGATGATTGCTTCTAGCAATAAAAAATTAGCAACGTTTAAACACTTCTCATTTCAACAGATTGAATAAATTTTATTAAAAAAAAAAGAACGATTTATGTAATGACAAACAACTTACGAGGAGTCGGTTCTACTAAGTCATCATCATATGGTCGTCAGTCCTAAGACCTCAACTCTTTCCTATCCTGAGCTAAACTTCGCATTTCCCTAAAGCTAGAACAACCCACACCCTTAACTATTTGCGAACAGTAATCTAACCTAGGTCCACCTCTCCCCTCCTAACTCCTGTTTCTGCATCTAATATTTCTCGTACTAGACCTTCACGCCTCAGAAGGTGTCCTACCAACCTATCTCGCCTATTTTTTATTGATTTCCATAGAGTCCTCTGTTCTCCTATTCTTTCTAATACCTCTTCTGCTAAGTAATGCCATATTATTTTTATTATTAAATTTGCAATTAGATACACTTCTTGTAAGCGTATAGCGCAGTATAATATACGGCGCAGTCGGTCAGGAAATCTTTTGATGCTAACTTGCCAATTGAATTGTTTAACTGAACTAGTTAAATATTTAATTTGTCATGTGCTATTAAACTATTTTGTTGGTAACTATGTAGAGTTATGCCAAGACGTAAGCGTGAGAAATATTACAAGGTGCTAAGTTCACACTATGCATACATGTATGATGGCCCTTTCCAATTGACTTTACTTAATGTATTTCCCTTGTGATTTCAAAGCGATAAACTGCAATTGCAGTACATATGCGATTATATTCCTGTATATAATTAAAGGAAAGCTATTCGATCGGCCTTCTAATAAAACTTTCTCGGAATTCTTAAATGTACTTCTAGAAAGTTAAAAATTCGAAATAAACGTATAAGTAGGTAGAGGCTGGTGCATAAGGGGTACTTGTTTTGTGCTTTTTTTTTAAGAGATAACAATATTAATAAGTAAAGTAATAATATGTAGCAAGATATTACCTATTCTGAAAAATATATTTATCAAATTATATTATACTAGATTTTACTAAATACTTGACAAATGTCATTATTTTTTCTGTTCCTCGAGAACAATATTCTTCTTTCTGGATAAAAAGTACCCTATGTCTTTTTCTGTACCCTTGACAATGTGTGTACAAAATTTCAAGGTAGCAGACAAACAAACAAACGTTCCTTATTCACAGTTTCCTTATTCGCGGGGGAAAAAATTGCAACCCAGTTCCTGTATTCGCGGTTGCAATCGTTACCGATTACACAGAAAAGGATTCGGTGTCATTTATTAAGGGGATTGACCGCAATAGACCGCTCGTGCCTAGTGCGAATTTTTCCGAAAACATGAGTTTCTATTCTAAACATTGTAATTTAACGCTGCGAGATAAATATCTAATTTTTTGTATGGTAACAGACAAAGGTTCACACTAACTCGGTACGTTTTTGGTTTCCAATAACATGGTCATTAAAAGCTTTTACAAGTGCTTAAAGTTGATGCTTCTTGTAGGACACGTATTTTCAATAGAAATTAAAAAATTAAGAAATATCCTTCGACAAGCTTTAGAACAAAGCTGTATCTATCTTACTACAAAATTTCAAACCTCTGTTTTAAATATTAAACTCATGATATCTAGGGTGGCTGT